AGTGGCAATTAAATTTCTGCCTGAGTTTAGGAAGGGACATTCAAGTGTAGCAGTTTTCTTCATTGCTGTCTGTCTGTTAAAGTCCATTCTGCCAGCATCTTCATATTGCTGGAATACTTGACAAAACTTTTGTATCAGGAACTATCTTGAATATTTACTTATTACCCTATTTAATGGACAGAAAATGCTGCATATATTATATAGATATACATACATATACACACACAAACACACACACATACACACTCTCCATATTTTTCCAGGTAACGGTTTCACTTCAAACACTGACAGTGTTTGTTTTTGTGTATCTAACAGTGTTTGAAATGAAACTATTTCCTGGACAAATATGGAGAGTTTGTGTGTATGTTTTGTTGGAATACTTTGACAAAACTTTTGTATAAGAAACTATCTTGAATATTGACTTACTACTCTATTTAATGGCCAGAAAATGCTACATATATTACATAGATATACATAGACATACACAAAAACACACACAAATACACACTCTCCATATTTGTCCAGGTAACAGTTTTATTTGAAACACTGTTAGATATAAAAACACAAACACTGTTAGTGTTTGAAGTGAAACCATTACCTGGACAAATATGGAGAGAGTATGTGTGTGTGTTTGTGTTTTGTGTATGTATATGTATTTCTCTATGTATGGACATCAATCCCAAATAAAAGCAGGTGAATAATTTTAGTAGTATCCTCTACTAGAAGAGTGAATTACTTTTCTATTTGTTACCTTTATTTCTCATTAAATAAAAAGCAAATTTTGAGGGAAAATGCTTTTTCCTATATGTCATTATATTGAGGAAATTATTCCCTACTTTAATTATCAAGGTATTTGACCAATAATATTAGATAGCACTTTGAGAGGCTGAGGTAGGCAATTCACTTGGGCCCAGGAGTTCCAGACTGGCCTGGGCAACATGGCAAAACTCTGTCTCTACAAAAAATACAAAAATTAGCTGAGTGTGATAGCATATGCCTGTAGCCCCAACTACTTGGGAAGCTAAGGCAGGAGGATTATGTGAACCTGGGAGATCAAGGCTGCAGTGAGCCGAGATTGTGCCTCTGCACTCCATCCTGGGTGACAAGAGCAAGACTCTGTCTCCAGAAAAAGAGAAAGCCCATTTTATAACCTTTATGGTTGTGCGTTTTTTAAAAAAAGTTGTTCTTTATAAATCGAGATGTAATAGTGAGTCTGTCTCATTTGATTAAAAAAATGTTCTTGGCTTTGGTGCTTTAACTAGAAGTTAAATTCACAGAATTTTGTAAAATGTTGTTTTCTGATTAGGAATATTTGTGTTCCTTTCCTTACAATGTGACTTTCCACCTTTAGTCATTATTTTAGTTGTTTTTGTAACTGCTAATACTTTGGGATTACTGCTTTAGTATATGAACTCATTAGTCATAATGGATTTTAGATGTGTGGAATTTCATTAACAATTGATTTGAAATTCATAAAGCTGAAATCTCCTACTAATTACTACTTTGCTAAAGTTCCTTAAAGGACTATCATTCTGCCCCCTCCCAAGAAAATGAACTTAAAAAAATCTTTTGCCACTTATGTAATTAAAAAAAATGTATTCCAGGGCCGGGCGCAGTGGCTCACATCTGTAATCCCAGCACTTTGGGAGGCCGAGGCGGGTGGATCACGAGGTCAAGAGATCGAGACCATCCTGGTCAACATGGTGAAACCCCATCTCTACTAAAAAGTCCAAAAATTAGCTGGGCACTGTGGCGTGTGCCTCTAATCCCAGCTACTCAGGAGGCTGAGGCAGGAGAATTGCCTGAACCCAGGACGGGGAGGTTGTGGTGAGCCGAGATCGCGCAATTGCACTCCAGCCTGGGTAACAAGAGCGAAACTCCATCTCAAAAAAAAAAAAAAAAAAAAAAATGTATTCCAAATATCAGAGCTCCATCTTAATTTGTTGGGCACTTTTTCAGTGCTTGTTAGCAGGCTTCTTGTAGCCATATTAGTGATGCTTCCTTTTCAGGCTTGTTGCAAAGATACTTTCTTTTCTTTGAAAATAGACTCAAGACCTCCTTCCAAATGTCTTATCTCAACTTCTCTGTCATTTGACATAAGTTTGTTGGGTGAGCCTGTATCCTAGAGATTCATGCCTAAATGGCTACCTGACTACATTTTTTGGTTTGTTTGTTTTTCCTGATGGACCTCAGGCTACAGAGTTGTGTCAGGCCTCTTTTGGTCAGATGCATGTTTGTTTCTCTTGTCAGCTTCTTGGTTGGTTTCTTTCCAGATTCTGCAGGGCAGCCATATGGTCATTTCTGCATTTTTTTCTAGATTGCTTCTGTGGCAGGATTCCAGGTTTGGTTGATTAGTGTTTCAGAATCTACCCATACTGAGAGAGCTTCAGTTTTTGCCCTTTCATTTTGTTTCAGACAGCATATTCACATCTAGTATCTTTCCCATCACTTATCTGAAGTTCATTTGAATTTGGTGATTTTATTTTATGTGGCCCATGTATTTGGCTAAATTTTCATCATTTTATATGCCAAGGAAGAAGACCATTAATGGCTGCTGAAGTGCCTAGATTGTGCTAACTTAGTAATACTAAATCTAGTAATAATGGGGGACTATTGGATGATAAATACTAATGTACATTAGTTTGGGTAAAAAAACATACAGTATCCTTTTCCACATCTTGTATTCTCAGTTATTTTGTTCTTACCTTTTTTTTGAAATTTATTTTGAATATCATTCTCTGTGTGAGACAAGGAGAAATTACTCTTAATGCTAATAGCAATAATACATTAAAAAGTATAGCTTTTGTGGTATTATTTCTCATTACAGAATTAATGAAGTAAAGTTCTATTAATAAAATTGAGTTTTAGCAAATTTATGCTTAGCCTTAGTGACCCAATAGCAGGAAAAATCCCCACCTGGATTTATTTATGACTATTTTTGATCTCAGGTAGCTTAAGAACATATCATTTCAGGATATTTTGAAGTTGAAGAAAAGCAACTTAATGTCTTGTATTTGGTCTGTTCTTAATTAATTTGTTATTTTGATTTTAGTGAAGATTGAATTAATAAGTAAAGTTAAACATCATGAAAACCTCACTGACTGTTAAAGGTTTTATAAAGTAGCTATAGAGGCTGGGTGTGACTCAGGCCTGTAATCCCAGCACTTTAAGAGGCCAAGGCGGGCAGATCACTTGAGGCCAGGAATTCAAGACCAGTCTGGACCTGGCCAGCATGGTAAAACCCTTTCTCTACAAAAAATAACAAAAATTAGCCAGACGTGTTGGTTCACATTTTTAATCCCAGCTATTTGGGAGTCTGAGACATGAGAGTCACTTGAACCTGGGAGGCAGAGGTTGCAGTGAACTGAGATCATGTACTGCACTCCAGCCTGGATGACAGAGCAGGACTCTGTCTCAAATAAATAAATAAATAAGTGAGGTGGCTTTAGAATATTATATCTAGTTTATAGAATTTTCAGACTCAGGCTTAAATTATTTAATGAAACTAAATTATTAAAATCTAAATTTCACTTTGCTTATATATTAGAGCAGTCTTTGATTTAATTTTACTCTGGCACTTTCATTTTATAGGAGACCCTACTTTATTTCTTTTTCAGACTTAGTTTTTGAGGAGGTAGGTTTTTGTTTTGTTTTGCTTTGCTTTGTTTTTTTGAGTCAGAGTCTCGCTCTTGTTGCCCAGGCTGGAGTGCTGCAGTGGTGCGATCTCAGCTCACTGCGATTCTCCTGCCTCAGCCTCCTAAGTAGCTGGGATCAAACGTGCCCGCCACCACCCCTGGCTAATTTTTGCGCTTTTAGTAGAGATGGGGTTTCACCATGTTGGCCAGGCTGGTCTCGAACTCCTGACCTCAGGTGATCTGCCCACCTCAGCCTCCCAAATTGCTGGTATTACAGGTGTAAGCCTGTACAGGTGACTGCATCTGGCCAAAGCACCACTTTTATTTTAACTACTTTTAACTTTTATTTGCATACAAAATGCCTCATTTCCCTGGCTTTTTCCAGAGAAGCTATACTGTACTTTGTTACTTTCTAATGTTTGTAAGCATTCTGCCTTAGAGTGTTTTGTATTTAGGTTTTAAAGTTCTTATGGTCATGGCCAGCACTTAATTTAATGGTAGCAAATGACCTTTTGAAGGAGCTGACTACATGTTTAAATTTATTAAATCTGAAAGTTCAGCTGCTAGTCACAGATTGCAAAGGATTGGTTGACTTTTTTTGCAGCAGGATATTTTCTAGAGTGTGTATTAATACTTTTATTGTCTCTAAATAGGTTGTTGCCCCCGAAAATTTATTTTTTCAGGTACAGAAAGGACATATAATTTATGTATTTTTATTTTTTATTTCCTACATACACATTTTTATTTTTTGTATTTTGCATTTTATAATATATATTAGCAATATCTTAGATATCCACTTCATAAATAAGCAACTACACATTACTGCATGCCTGTATATTTACCAGTAGGAATACTTAGTTAAAATAATTCGAAGACCATAGTTCTGACAGAGTAGTAAGTCATAGAAAGTGAACACTAGGGCCAGGCGCGGTGGCTCAAGCCTATAATCCCAGCACTTTGGGAGGCCGAGGCGGGTGGATCACAAGGTCAAGACATCGAGACCATCCTGGTCAACATGGTGAAACCCCGTCTCTACTAAAAATACAAAAAATTATCTGGGCATGGTTTTGCGTGCCTGTAATCCCAGCTACTCAGGAGGCTGAGGCAGGAGAATTGCCTGAACCCAGGAGGCAGAGGTTGCGGTGAGCCGAGATCACGCCATTGCACTCCAGCCTGGGTAACGAGTGAAACTCGGTCTCAAAAAAAAAAAAAAAAAAAGAAAGTGAACACTAAGGGTAGAGCATGTGATCTTTTTAAAGAGATAGGAAAAGATTCAATGATTAAAAATATAATAAAAGAAAATCTAAGTAAATATAGAGTAAGTAAAAATAAATATAGATGAGAATACTATTATACAGACCAAGGGACTCATTTGTAGATTATTTATAATTTAACTCATTATAAAACATTAATACAGGCTTGGTATTGTGACTCATGCCTGTAATCTCAGCACTTTGGGAACCTAAGGGGAAAGGATTGCTTGAGGCCAGGAGTTTGAAACCATCTTCAGCAACACGGCGAGACCCCATCTCCACAAAAAATTTAAAAATTAGCCAGATGTGGTGGTACACACCTGTAGTCCTAGAGCTAAGGCAGGAGGATAGCTTGAGCCCAGGAATTCCTGGCTGCAGTGAGCTATAATCATGCCAGTGCCCTCTAGCCCTGGGTGACAGAAGGCGATTCTTTGTAGAAAACACGAATTAAGCAGGGGAGGGTGTGCCAAGGTGGCTGACAGAAGGCAACACCAGAATGCAGCTCTCAGCAAATGAGATGCAGAGGGCTAGAGGACTTCACGATTCCAGGTGAGGTACTGGGTTCACTTCACTGGGACTGGTAGTGCACTGAAAATAGCCCAGGGAAGGAGCTGCAGGGCGAGAGCTGCGTAGGGAGGGCAAACCGAGACAGGACAGGGCAAGTCCCCACCTGGAACGTGCAGCCAGCTCAGAGGGTCGGGGTTGTCACCCCCTCAGTGCTCTGATTCAGATCCTGTGCTTACCTCATCCCTTCTGCAACCTAGGGTCCACAAGAGCCCTGCAAGACTGAGGGGCACTATGGGTTGTTGATGCAAATCTGAGCAATGGCTCCTGCCAGGTACTGCAAGTTGTCAGTGGAAGTTTGGACTAACACCAGGGGAATGGACCTGTCCCACAGAAAGAGGCAGAGTTAAAAGCAGGGAAACAGGCCATAAGGCCTGGCAGGCCCCACCCCCCACAAAACTCAAACTGAAGCCCACGCGCTAGAGGGCTTGGTAGCAAATACACCAGTTTAACCCCAACTGGGAAGCTCGAGCTCGGGGAAGGAGAATATGCCATTGGGAAGGTGGGGCTAATCTCAGCTACAAAGGAACTCCAGGGAAGGACCACCCACCCAGCAACCTGACTGAATCTGAGACACCCCAGCAGCACCTCTACAGGCCAAAAAAGATATAGCTCCAACCTCAACAGACAGGACATCCACTCAGAGACTTTTCCCCAACTTCAAAGATCAAAGGGAGATAAATCCACAAAGATGGGAAGAAACCAGCACAAAAGGATGAAACCATCAAAGCCCAGAACACCTCTTCTCCTCCCAGGGATTACAACTCCTCATTATCAAAGGAACAAAACAAGACAGAGAATGAGTTTGATGAATTGACAGAAGCAAGCTTCAGAAGGTGTGTAATAACAAACTTCTCTGAGTTAAAAGACCATGTTCTAACCCAGTGCAAAGAAATTAAGAATGCTGAAAAAAAGGTACCTGAAATGCTAACTAGAATAACCAGCTTAGAGAAGAACATGAACAACTTGATGGAGCTGAAAAGCATAGTACAAGAACTTCGAGAAGCATACACAAGTTTCAACAGCTGAATCAATCAAGCAGAGGAAAGGATATCAGAGACAGAAAATCAAATGAAATAAAATGAGAAGGCAAGATTAGAGAAAAAAGACTGAAAATAAACGAACAAAGCATCCAAGAACTATGGGATTATGTGAAAAGACCTAATCTATGCTTGATTGGTGTACCTGAATGTGATGGGGAGAATGATTCCAAGTTGGAAAACACTTTTCAGGATATTATTCAAGAGAACTTCCCCAACCTAACAAGGCAGGCCAACATTCAAATCCAGGAAATACAGAGAACACCACAAAGATATTTCTCAAGAAGAGCAACCCCAAGGCACATAATTGTCAGATTCACCAGGATTGAAAGGAAGGAAAAAAATCCTAAGGGCAGCCAGAGAGAAAGATTGAGTCATGTACAAAGGAAAGACCATCAGACTCACAGTGGATCTCTTGGCAGAACCCCTACAAACTAGAAGGGAGTGGGGGCCAATATTCAACATCCTTAAAGAGAAGAATTTTCAACCCAGAATTTCATATCCAGACAAACTAAGCTTCATAAGCACAGGAGAAATAAAATATTTTATGGATGAGCAATTGCTGAGAGATTTCATCACTATAAGACCTGCCTTACAAAAGCTACTGAAGGCAGTAATAAACATGGAAAGGAACAACCAGTACCAGCCACTGCAGAAACATACCAAATGGTAAAGAACAATGAGGCAATGAAGAAACCAAATCAACTAATGGACAAAACAACCAGCCAGTAACAAAATGGCAGGATCAAATTCAAACATAATATTAACATTGAATGTAAATGGCCTAAATGCCCCAATCAAAAGACACAGACTGGCAAACTGGATAAAAAGTCGAGACATATTGGTGTGCTGTATTCAGGAGATGGAAGAAGATTTACCAAGCAAATGAAGAGCAAAAAAAAAAAAAAAGCAACAGTAGCAGTCCTAGTCTCTGACAAAACCGACTTTAAACCAACAAAGATCAAAAGAGACAAAGAAGTGCATTACATAATGGTAAAAGGATCAATGCAACAAGAATAGCTAACTATCCTAAATATATATGCACAATCACAGGGAGGCTGAGCAACTTGCTCCTGAATGACAAATGGATAAACAATGAAATGAAGGCAGAAATAAATATATTCTTCAAAACCAACAAGAAAGAAGACACAACTTACCAGAATCTATGGGACACATGTAAAGTAGGGTCTAGAGGGAAATTTATAGCAGTAAATGCCCACATGAGAAACAAAGAAAGATCTAAAATCGACACCCTATCGTCAAAATTGAAAGAGCTAGAGGAGCAAGATCAAAAAAACTCAAGCTAGCAGAAGACGATAAATAACTAAGATCAAAGCAGAACTGAAGAAGATAGAGACACAAAAAACCCTTCAAAAAAATCAGTAAATCCAGGAGCTGGTTATTTGAAAAGATCAACAAAATAGACAGAACACTAGCTAGACTAATAAAAAAGAAAAGAGAGAAGAATCTAATAGATGTAATAAAAAATGATAAAGAGGTGATCACCACTGATTCCTCAGAAATACAAACTATCATCAGAGATTACTATAAACAGCTCTACGTGCATAAACCAGTAAATCTGGAAGAAATGGATAAATTCCTGGATACTTACACACTCCCAAGACTAAGCCAGGAAGAAGCTGAAACCCTGAATAGACCAATATAAAGGTCTGAAGTTGAGGCAGCAATTAATAGCCTACCAACCAAAAAAAGTTCAGATCCAGATGGGTTCATAGCTGAATTTTACTAAACACATACAAAGAGGAGCTGCTACATTTCCTGTTGAAACTATTCCAAACAATACAAAAAGAGGGAGTCCTTCCTCTTTCTCTGAGACCAACCTCATCCTGATACCAAAATCTGGCAGAGATACAACTAAACGAGAAAATATGGGCTAGTATCCATGATGAACATTGCTGTAAAATCTTCAATAAAATACTGGCAAACTGAATCCAACAGTACATCAAAAAGCTTATTTACCACCATCAAGTAGGCTTCATCCTGGGGATGTAAGGCTAATTCAACATACGCAAGTCTATAAATGTAATTCTCCACATAAACAGAACCAAAGACAAAAACCACATGATTATCTCAGTAGATGCATACAACAGCCCTTTATGCTGAAAACTCTCAATAAACTAGTATTGACAGAACATATCTCAAAATAATAAAAGCTATTTACGACAAACCCACAGCCAATATCATACTGAGTGGGCAAAAACTAGAAGCGTTCCCTTTAAAAACTGGTACCAGAAAAGTATGCCCTCTCTCACCACTCCTATTCAATATAGTATTGGAAGTTCTAGCCAGGGCCATTAGGCAAGAAAAAGAAATAAAGACCATTCAATTAGGAAAAGAAGAAGTCAAATTGTCCCTGTTTGCAGACAACATGATCATATATTTAGAAGACCCCATTGTCTCAGCACAAAACCTCCTTAAGCTGATAAGCAACTTTAGCAAAGTCTCAGGATACAAAATTGATGTACAGAAATCACAAGCATTCCTATACACCAGCAACAGACAAACAGAGAGCCAAAATATGAACAAACTCTCATTTACAATTGCTACAAAGGGAATAAAATACCTAGGAATACAACTAACAAAGTATGTAAAAGATCTCTTCAAGGAGAACTACAAACCACTGCTCAAGGAAATAAGAGGGGACACAAACAGGTGGAATAACATTCTCATGCTCATGGTTAGGAAGAATCAATATTGTGAAAATGGCCATACTGCCGTAAGTAATCTATAGATTCAGTGCTGTCCCCATCAAGCTACCACTGACCTTCTTCAAAGAACTGGAAAAAGCCACCTTAAACTTCATCTGGAACCAAAAGAGAGCCCACAGCCAAGACAATCCTAAGCAAAAAGGACAAAGCTGGAGGCATCACACCACCTGACTTCAAACTGTGCTACAGGGTTACGGTAATCAAAACAGCATGGTACTGGTACCAAAACAGAGATATAGACCAATGAAACAGAATAGAGGCCTCGGAAGCAACGCCACACATCTACAACCATCTGATCTTTGACAGACCTCACAAAAACAATCAATGGGGAAAGGATTCCCTGTTTAATAAATGGTGTTGGGAAAACTGGCTAGCCATGTGCAGAAAGCTGAAATTGGAACCCTTCTTTACACCTTATACAAAAATTAACTCCAGATGGATTAAAGATTTAAACATAAGAATTAACACCATAAAAACCCTCAAAGAAAACCTAGGAAACACCATTCAGCATATAGGCATAGGCAAGGACTTCATGACTAAAACACCAAAAGCATTGGCAACAAAAGCCAAAATAGACAAATGGGATCTAATTAAACTCCAGAGCTGCTGCACAGCAAAAGAAACAATTATTAGAGTGAACTGGCAACAAATAGACTGGGAAAAAAACTTTTGCCATCTACCCATCTGACAAATGGCTAATATCCAGAATCTACAAAAGACTAAAGCAGATTTACAAGAAAAAACAAACCAACCAACCCATTCAGAAGTGGGCGACGAATATGAACAGATACTTTTCAAAAGAAGACCTCTATGAAGCCAACAAACATGTAAAAATGCTCATCATCATTGCTCATTAGAGAAATGCAAATCAAAACTACATTGAGATACCATCTCATGCCAGTTAGAATGGCAATCATTAAAAAATCTGGAGACAACAGATGCTGGAGAGGATGTGGAGAAAAAGGAACACTTTTACACTGTTGGTGGGAGTGTAAATTCGTTCAACCATGTGGAAGACAGTGTGGCAATTCCTCAAGGATCTCGAAATAGAAATTCCATTCGATCCAGCAATCCCATTACTGGGTATATATCCAAAGGATTATAAATCGTTCTATTATAAAGACATGCGTACACATATGTTTGTTGCGGCTCTGTTTACGATAACAAAGACCTGGAACCAACCCAGATGCCCATCAATTATAGACTAGACAAGGAAAATATGGCACATATACATCATGGAATACTGTACAGCCATAAAACACGAGTTTGTATCCTTTGTGGAGAAGTGGATCAATCTAGAAACCATCATTCTAAGCAAACTGACACAAGAACAGAAAATCAAACACTGGATGTTCTCACTTATAGGTGGGTGATGAACAATGAGAACACTTGGGCACAGGGAAGGGAACAACACTCACAGGGCTAGGTGTGGGGGTGGAGGGGAAGGGAGAGGAGGAACAGCGGGGGGCAGGGAGGATGGGAAGGCATAACACTGGGAGAAATGCCTGATGTAGGCAATGGTGGGGGGAGTGGAAATGGCAAACCATCATGGCATGTATGTACCTATGCATACCTATGCAACAATCCTGCAGGATGCACAATTGTGCACATGTACCCCAGAGCCCAAAATACAATTAAAAAAAACATGAATTAAATAAAATAAATTTATTCCCCCTCAAAAAAACAATTAAACATGGTTCCTGTTGTTTAATTAATAAAATAAAAAGAGTTTTAATAACTAAGTGAACTATTTACAACTTTTCAAATAGATTGAGCAATTTAAGTAGAGGTGCAAATTATTCACTCAGAATGGCTTTTCCTTGTCTGATTGTAGCTGACCTTTATATAGGCCTTTTAAATTTAGAGGTCAGCTGTTAAATGTTGAACTTGCCTCTCAACAGTCTCTTGTTTTTTATTTCTTCATGGTGGAAGGAATTTAAAGTAAACTTTAAGATTTTAAACATTATTATAAATCAGATAATAGGAGATGTTAATTTTGTGTTTCCCAGTGTTGTTAAAATTAGTAGGTATTGCCTTTATAACCAGGAAAAATATTTTTAAAAATTAATATAAATAACTTTTAGTAGTATTAATAGAACTAGAAACAGTTTATATATCTTCAAAGTTACCTATGATATAGTGGGGGGAGGTGAGGATAAAGGGAGAAGAAGAAACAATAAACAGAAAACAAGTAGCAAGGAAACATTCTAAAATAGGAAAAAATTACAAGTTAAACCAAATTTGTTAATCAATGAGAGCTTGTAACATTGCTCAGGTTGGCCTTGAACTCATAGCCTTGCCTCCTCAAGCACCAGGACAACTGGCCGGAGCCACCATAGCCCCCCCAAATTTGTTATAACAATAAATATGTGGGATGAGTTCACCTTTTACAACCAGAAGGCTTGCTATGAAGTTTTTTTTTTTTCCAAAAGTATAAAAAAATACTTTGGTTTATGATACACATTTAAAAAATCTTTTAAGAAGTTAAAAGGATGGGCATACCATGCAAATTAACAGAAATAAAGCAGAGGGGGTCATAATATTCAGCATGATAAAATTTTTAAAATAATGAGAGAAAACAATAATACATATAAGCTGTGATGTTGATGTCAAGAATCTATATGTACCAAATAATACAGAACTAAAATATAAAGGTCAAAAATGTTCAAAGAATAAAGAGAATTTTTAGAACTCAATTATAGTTTAAATATTTTATAGTACTCTTCTAGGTCTGTAAGAGATAAAACTGATAATTATATTATTCCTATATTCTGTATTTTAATTCAATTGATATACAAGACAAGGAACTGTATATTCTGAAAAAAAATGTTTTCTCTGATTCATGAAACGTTGACCATGTTTTTAGTCACAGGGAAAATTTCAGGCAATTTCAAAGATTAGAAATAGGCTCCACTAGATTTTCTGCTTTCAGTACAATACATTTAGAGCTAAAGTAATACAGATAAAGAGGAAATCTGGTGATTTTCAGATATTTTCTAACAATTCTTGGGTCAAAGGAAAAAATAAAAACTGCAATTCTAACCTATTACCTGCATAATATAACATTAGAGTATACTGCATTTTCTCCTATTTTTCTGGTAAACTATGCATTCTGATTTCAGAAAGGTAGTTAAAGGACAGCATTCAATAATAAATGTTTCTTCACCCTCTGTAAAGAGGAAGGCATTTTGTTTGATGTGAGATATGACTCTGAAAAGACTCTTAGCCTTGGGAACATGTAAATCTATTACATTGTATCATCAAATGCACATTAGTAGTAAATTACTTGGGATGGATACATGGAAAATCCTCTTTATAGGTTTGGTGTATAGTGTGATTAATTTTTAGGAGATACTTGTGATACCCCTATGGCAAGGAGAAGTATAATAGTCTGTTATGGCCAATTGACTGAATTGTGTATAATGTTTATAGATTTTTGGTTTCTTTTTACCTGTTTCCTGTTTGCATCTTTTGTTCAGTATTCCTCTAGGCTTCAAATTCTTCATCTGTGAATGAGGAGGTTGAATTAAAATATAAAGTTATTTATACATATTATTTTTGTGTAGTTGTGAATAAATTCATTAAGTGTATATTGAATGCCGACTCCTAGTCAGTCTATAGGGTTTAAACTTATGCTCTGATGGGAGAGAGAAATAAGCTTAGGATGCCATAAAAGCAGAGACAGGCAAGTATATCTTAGAAGGAAGGGGAGAGAAAAGGGCATTAGGGAAGCTTTCACAGAGGCAGTGTGACATCTTAGCTAGTCTTGAAAATAAATGAGTTTGTCAAGTAAACAAGAAAGGAGAGAGTTCTAGGCTCAGGAAGTAGAATGTACAGAGGCAGAAAGAGTGCATTTTACTTTTGGAAAAACACAGGCCATTTATGTGATGCTTAACATGGGATTATGGAATAGCAGGATATTAAACATTGAAGTATATGCCAGCCAAATCGTGAAAGCTTATTATGTCATACTAAATAATATGAGCTTTAAGTTAAATACAGTGACTAACCATGGAAATGTTTTCTATTTGGGCACGGAACTGTAAAGTTTACTTGAAGTGGATGCAGAGATAGCAGTCAGAAAACTGGCAGTTCAAGTGAGACATGCAATTAAAATAATGGCAAGAGATGATACACAGATTTATTACAGGTCCCTAAAATGGATACACTTCATAGGGTCTGTGGAAGCCCTGGAAATGTATGTAAGATTTAACATGAATGTATTTTCCTTGGGACATGGGTCACACATTTCATCTGTTCATACAACAGGGCTATTAGTATAAATATGTATCACAGGGAAAATTGACAGGATGATATTCTACAAACTATGAAGTTTAAATAACTTTACGTTTTACTTCATTCACTAATGACTAATCTATTTTTTTTTTCACTTTTTATAGTGGACAGGCCAAAATCTCAGCAAGTTCGAACCTCTAGTACAATAAGGCGAACCTCCTCTTTGGATACAATAACAGGACCTTACCTCACAGGACAGTGGCCACGGGATCCTCATGTTCACTACCCTTCATGCATGAAAGACAAAGCTACTCAGGTAAAATAAGCAAATCAAAATCAGCTTATCACCCTGCACTTCTTCTGTTTTGATCACAGTAAAGAAAATGTAATGTAATAACATTTTCCCAAATTTGAAATATATCCACCCAAGGAAGAAAGGAAAATACATCATTTTAAATAAACTTTGCAATAATTGTTTTTTGTCATCTGGGTTTTAGAAGCTTTGAAATTCTTTAATACTTAAATAGCACATCAGTCTATATTACATGGCTTTAAAGACTTTTGTTGTAATTTTAAGAATTGCTTTCCAATAGAAATTAAAATGACTAATAACCATTTTAGAAAATATAAAACTTTTTAAAGAGTAGTTTGCACACTTCTTGAAAATAATTCATAAAGTATTAACATATGCCTAATAAAACATATGATAGATAATTTATTTTTTTTTCTGTTAAAACCAAGATTAAAAGCCTTCAGAGGAAAATATAAATTAACTGTCACATTTCCCGTTTTTGGCAGGATCCCCAAGCTTTTGATTTGAAAAGCTTTTTTTCCATGACAGGAATAAAAAATCTGAAAACATCTTTATTCATGATTATCTGAGTTATTGACCATATCTTCCTAACAGTAGTCAATCAGCATGTATTGTCATCATGAAGAATACTAAAAATATAAGATATGGTTATTGGTTTTGAAGAACCTGCTGCACAGTTAGGTAGATAAGACATACATTTAAAAAATTGGTAAATGAAGACAGTGTTAGATGAATGGAGTATGTAAATGCAAGGGCATTCAAAGGAAAGAACATTTAGGGCTCTGTAGGTTAGGGAAATAGAATAGAGTTTCATCTCTGAAGAATGAGGAAAAAGAGGAAGAGAGTTTTTTGGACATGATCTATAAAAACTCTGCTTCTCAGTTTTTGTCATTTTCTCAGGCAAGCTTGAAATTGTGAAATTGGCTTCTACTTTATAATCTATCTCATCAATTCTGTCCTTGTAATATTTTATGCTGCCCTAGTCTTTTGATTGAGTATTCATTTAGCGAGGAAGAGAATAAGTTTAATATGGCAGGCAGTGGAATTTCCAAGTAGAAATAACTAGCAAAACTTAGAGGTGATTGAGGGTCTAGACAGTTAAAGATCTGGGCACAGATGTATTCAAATGAAGGCCCACGGAGGGAACTTTCTGGGATAATGGAAATGTTAATTAATTTAAAAATTAGTTAATTTTAATTCAATAAAAGTTATTTATATTAATGTTATATAGCATGATTCTTTGATATATACACATATTTGAAATGATTAAATCAAACTAATATATGAATTACCTCATTTTTTGTGTGTGTGATAGGAACACTTAAAATCTACTCTCTTAGAACTAATTTCAAATATACAATATATTGTTATTTACTGTAACACTTAAAATCTACTCTCTTAGAAATTTTCAAATATAACAATATATTGTTATTTACTGTAGTCATCATGATATACAGTAGATTGCTTGAAGTTATTTCTCGTAACTGAAATTTTGTGTCCTTTGACCAGCATCTCCCCAGGACCACCAACCCTTAGCCTCTGATAACCATCATTCTGCTCTCTATTTCTATAAGTTAAATGTTATATATCTTTTTTTTTTTTTTTGAGACAGGGTCTTGTTCTATTGCCTAGGCTGGAGTTCGGTGGTGTGATCTCGGCTCACTGCAACTTCTGCCTCCCAGATTCAAGCAATTCTCATGCCTCAGCCTTCCAAGTAGCTGGGACAACAGGCCCCTGGTACCATGCCCAGCTAATTTTTATATTTTTAGTAGAGATGGAGTTTCAGCAGTAGAGGCTGGTGTTGAACTCCTGGCCTCAAGTGAGCCACTAGCCTTGGCCTCCCAGAGTGTTGGGATTATAGGCATAAGCCACCATGCTTGGCCAGTGTTACGTATCTTAATAGAAGTTTGGGTTATGTTGGTGAATTCATTTATCAGAACTTACCCAAGTGTACACTTGTACATTTTGCTATATAACTTTAATTTTAAAAACATAGAATATAAACAGAAAACAAGTACTGAACTCAGATGTTTAGAGATGAAGTATACTGCTGTCTGCAACTTTGAAATGAATCAAAAATAAGATTGATCAGTGGATACCTAGATAGGTATCTGGTGGAGCAAATAGAGCAAAATGTTATATAGAGAAGCTGAGTATTGGCTTTATGGGCCCTCATGAACAGGTTTTTTTTCCCTTTTAATTGTTCTGTTTGAAATTTCTATTAGTAAAATGTTAAAAAAAAAATTCATGGCCGGGTGCAGTGGCTCACGCCTGTAATCCCAGCACTTTGGGAGGCCGAGGCAGGTGGATCACGAGGTCAAGAGATCGAGACCATCCTGGTCAACATGGTGAAACCCTGTCACTATTAAAAATACAAAAAAATTAGCTGGGCATGGTTTTGCGTGCCTGTAATCCCAGCTACTCAGGAGGCTGAGGCAGGAGAATTGCTTGAACCCTGGAAGCGGAGGTTGTGGTGAGCCGAGATCGTGCCATTGCGCTCCAGCCTGGGTAACAAGAGCAAAACTCGATCTCAAAAAAAAAAAAAAAAAAAAATTCATGGCCCACTGACTTCTCTGCTTTGCGACCCAGTCTTAAGCTTTCTTTTCTGTAAATTAAAATTAATAATACCCAATTTGCACATTCACATGTTTATTCTGAGGTCTAAAAAGTACAGCTTTACATTTTTAAGGCCTCTGAAGAAATATGGATCACTGCCAGATTTAGAGTCATCTGTTTAGCATAGTAGAAAGAAAAACTAAAAGCCATTTGTGAAATATAATATTATTACTGTAGCCTTGCAGACACAACCTTTATAAAACAAAAAAATATATTACCAACTCTTAAAATTGAACTTGTAATTAAGGTTGCTGTAATAAGACAGTAATGTTTCCTCAGTCTTCACTCCATAGTCTGAGGTATAGTCTCTGGACAAATTTTAAATTTTGTGTTAGAGTGAGTATGTTTTTAAATGTGAAAGTAATATATGTTCTTTGTAAAGTGGCCAAGTAATAAAAATAATAAATACAGCAATAATCAGAGGTATTTCCTATAACTTCCCAGGTATAGTAGTGTAATTAGAGCTGTTCATAGACACTGGCATTCTCTCTCCTGGGCACATGGTAGGATTCTGTTTCTCTGCCCACTTCAAGTTAAGTGTGGCCATGAGACTTGATTTGGAAAGAAGCTTTAAAGAACTGGTGCATTCTCTCTGACAGGGAAGTAACTGTTCACTCCTAGTTTGTCCATCTGGATCACTGACAGTGACAAACATAGCCTTCTTAATGACCCATACATGTTGTATGAGCAAGAAATTAACTTTTGCAGTTTTAAGTCATTGGGATTTGGAGATTGTGTGGTTACTATCCTATAACCAACACTCTACTGACTAATATGCAATGTATAATAACCTTTTAAACAAATTTTTGTAGGCTTCTTAGATCATAGTATGTTACAATTCTTAATTCAAAACTTTTCAAAAGATTCAGTGTGGACATAAAATCAGTATCAAAAATAGAATGAAAGAAAAAACAGCACGGGAAGTGTTTTTTCTGAGTTTTATCATTTGCTTAATTAACTTCTCTTAATTTTATTTAAACATCTTTAAAAAATAGTGTCTTAATAGTTTATTTTCCTGTTACACCTTTCTTTGACTTTTATAGACCTTAAACTTTTTCTGATACAGTTAGACAATTTTCTTTGTATGAGTAGTCCATCTAAAACAGCCTGTGGAACAGGCTACCTTAAGTCTCAAAATGTCACCTTTTTGAAATGTCCATTAAACTAGAAGACATGATGGTGTTAATCTACAGAGGTGATTTTCATTAGGCTTTCTGCAAGTTAATTATTCAGTCTTAACAAGAGAAACCACCACTGCCTTCTTGCTGCTTTTGTTTTTTTAAACAAGATTTAAAATGCTTTTGTTTTTTTAAACAAGGATTTAAAATGCTTTTGATTAGATTTATATTGTGATAAAATGATGGATTTAATGCTTTTTATATATAACTTGTAAAAGAAAAAAGTCACTTGCCTAAACATAGTGTTTCCACTTTAGGCATCTGCTCCCTGCCAAGGTCAGCATCCTATCATAGTATAAAATCTCTGTGCTTCTCAGTTCTTGCAGGGATGCTTAGTGATATATTTATAGACATTCTGTAATTGTTCCAGAATGTTTTTAGTCCAGCTAAATTAAAATAAGTAAATATTTCAGTTATGCATTTTTGAGTTTTATCTGTCTTTGTTTTAAAAGTAATGCTTTTTGATGGTAAAATAATCCATGTAATATAGAAGGACATGAATAGTAGCCACTGACTCCCTGGATCTATTACTTAAAAAATTATTAACAGATTCTTTTTTTTTTTTTTTTTTGGCGGAGGTGGGCACATGTTTTGAGAAATTCTCTGTAAGATATTATTTAAACATATACACACAGAGATGGAATCATACTCTATATCATATAATTGACTTGCTTTTTCCATTTGATGGATCATGGGCATCTCTCCTTATAACATGTAAATCCGTATCTCGCTTTTTCCCCCAATTTTTTAAGTTGTGGTAAAATACATATAACATGATAGCCAGACATGGTGTCATGTGTCTTGTAATCTCAGCTACTTCCAAGGATGAGGCAAGAGAATCGCTTGAACCTAGGAGGCAAAGGTTTCAGTGAGAGCCAGGATTGGCCTACTACACTCCAACCTGGGCAACAGAGTGAGACCTGTCTCCCCCTCCCTCACCCCCAAAATAATTAAATTTACCATGGATGAAGATGAATTAACCATGTTTTAAATGTACAGTTCCATGACATTAAGTGCATTCACATTATTGTAAAACCATTACCACCATCCATGTCTAAAACATTTTCACTTTTTCCACCTATTAAATACTAGGTCTCCATCCTCCCCACCATACCCAAGCCTCTGGTAGCCATCATTCTGTTTTCTGTCTCTGTGAATTTACTTTAGGAACCTCATATAAGAAAAATCACACAGTATTTATCCTTTTGT